CTCGCCCACCCACGGTCTTGACTTGTGTGTATCTATGATTTCGGCACATTTGGGTCTCAAAATGTTCAACAGTTCACATTAAATCATTTACTCAATTATACTTTTTTTCCTTCAAATTGTACATCTTAATTCAATGCAATGATGGCTCCTATACCTAACTGTTTGTAGTGTTGTGTTCTCCTGCATGTATTTGGTCCATCTAGATTAATGTATGAATCTGTCACCCCATCCCCTTCACCTCCTTTGCCCCCTCCTCTGGGCTCCTGACTCTTTCTGCAGCCTTTCTACTGATTCTCCTTGGCTCCTTCTTACTGCTGTCTTTCAGCCACACCCCTGATCTACACCTAGCCTTCTCGGACAAGGGCGAAAAATGTCGGAGGACCCGTGTGCAAGTTGGGCACATTAAAGGTCCCTTGGTGGTTCAAAATCGATATATAAGAGTAGGCTTCGGCTGCCACCTTTGCAAAATTCAAAATTTCCTAGCTACTGAAAATGTTTAATGTGTCCTGCGCGCTCAAATGACCTTATGCAGTTGCGAGAGCTGTAAAAAAAAAACGCCAACAACAAAAAAAAAAACATTAAAAATCAATCTGTCTGTTGGTAGATCTTATGAAGTTTATAAAAACGAATTGGGGCGGTTGTTTAGTCATGTTGGCCAACTGGTGGTGTAACCATGGGTTTAAATTTGTACTGACCACGCTCAGATTCTAATAGAGCAAATTCGCATTTTAATAATTTCCCCAAATTTATTGGAGCAGTGCGTGAAATTATTCGATAGATCTAATCCTTTATTGGTGTTGCAGACAGCTATGTATAAAAACTTAGGCCTACTGAAGTCAATGCAAATTATCTGAATTTTAAATTTCTTAACATCTGATAATGTTGATTTAAAAACATTTTTTAAAAGGCAAAGCAAAGAAGATGAATAAATTATACTCTTGAGAAAGTGATTGAATGATATAGTGACATGTTTCTGGAATAATCCGCCCCAACGCTCGTGGTGATATCCATGCTGACATTTTTAAATCTTCATAACTGCACTCTAGAGCTGTATCTAAAATCCTAAATGAGGCAGTGAAACGTTCTGGAACGCTGACTGATTGCCGTGGCACCATGTCTTGGTTTTTCTGTCAAAGGGCGCTGTAACTCCTAAAAGTTCCAACCAAGTGTGTTTGTCTCACCCCCCCCCCCCCCG